AATAATTGCCAGTGCGTATACAATGGTTCTGTTCTTATCGTTCGAAACTGTACAACGGTCACGGTTATACGAGCAGCGTCTTTAAACTTGCTGTGAATGTACCCTGCTGCGGCCGTGCCGGTCGCTGCAGCGACAAACGGCGGATTTGCGGCGCTTACATCCTTCCACGCACGTCGAGACACGCGCGCGGTCGTGCGCGGGAGTTTCGTGCGGGGACCATGATTAAAATAATAAATTCCGGAGATACGAGTAGAGACGTTTTAACTCGAATTAGTATTGCATCGTGCACGCGGCACCGCACGACGCGACGGCGTTTCCCCGAGCTGCAAAGAGGACGGTGCCTTGAATTATAAATGTCGGGCTGAACACACCTCGCGACAGAGCGGCGTATGCCGTTCGAATAAGGAGACTCTCTCTCTTTCTCTCTCTCTCTCTCTCCTCCTTCTCCTTCGAGGGGATAAAGGGGCGAGATTTTATTAGGGTAACGTTCGTTAGGCGCGTTTCTGGGCAACCTTCCAATTCGATCTCACGGTCCGTTTCATTCCCGTAGACTGCAGCAGGCATACATTAGACAGTCGAAGGACAAGTCAGAGTAAGAGATTTTTTGACATTCCCGGATGTATATTCTTGAACATCGTCAGCAGAATGTCGATCCCATTCGTCTCGATTCTATTTTCGACATTTTTTTGTTGAACTATTCGATTTAATCGGATGGAAGTTTCCAGATAAGGCGAGCTGGAATAAAAATGAGATTTTCTGCGGTACTACGTTATCGATGTAAGGATTATCAGTCAACGCGAGAATCTGTTCCTTACGTTTATTACATTCAAGGCGTAAATGTATGAAATATAAAATAAAGAAACGTTTCACGTATATGCGACGCCGTGTTGCTATAAGCAAATAAGATATTGCGAGTTCCGCTGCGTTTCTTTATTTATACATTTTATATGTTTTCTCCCGTTGGATATTAAATCTCGATGTAGCTTCGTCGGCGAATAAAATGTGTTTTCCGAGGCTTTCACGCTTCCGACTCTCCCGTCTGAGAGAATTGGCACGTAGAGAACGCAGCACCGATTCCGGATTATCATAATACCGGCTGTCAGGCTCGTATGAACCTTCCCGCGAGCGCTTGACATCCCTCTCCCTTCCATCTGACGTAAGCCGCCCTCTCGTCTGAGCAGTTTCGGACCAAACGGATTCACTAAATGTCCCACGTTACACCTTCTCACCGAGAAGATTCTCGACTGCTCTCTCGATTACGGATGAATTTATCGACGTCCGAACTTTTTATTCGTCTTTGATTTTACTTAACGATTATTTCTACGATTACAGCGAGAACGATACGAAAACTCCGCGTGCCATTTCATTTGAAATTCATAAGTCACGTGAATGTATAACGCATAATTACATTACGACATGTGAAATTTAATTATAACTGTAGTATATACGCTATAACAATTTCTTTATCGTAATTTTCTTTTTATCAACATTTTTTTAAGTATTATTTAAGTATTATTATCCATATGGATATTGTTCAAGAACTATATATTTTCATGGCATATATAGGTATATTTATATAAATGTATAATATTATAGAAGATATGTACGTTACAAAGCCGCGAATAGTTTCAATTAAAGAGTATTGCCTTTTGTAAAAAAATCTTCTGTGGATGTTTCAACGAAAGCGTGCAATGATAAGAGGTATCATCAAAACTGTCTGACGAGAGCAAGATGTATTTGTTAAATTTTTCTTCTCGTGCATCCATCATGTTATAATTTATGTTCTCACGAAACTATAGATCGACAGTTTACAATTCGACGCAAAGTTAGACAAACAATTTCTCAGGAGATCGCGCGGAACGTTCGAGTTCGATCCCGATATTTCCAGACATCTCAATATCCGGACATGAACGCGCGGCGCGCGCTTACCGTCAGGCTCCCATTTTTTGCGCGCGAAGAAAATTGGAAGGCGTGCACGCTACCCCGCCGGAATATTCCTTTCTGCCTCACGATAGCACGAGGGAAAGCCGCGTGGAAGTTTCAAAAGCGACGCTCGTATCGCTGCACCCGCGCGGCGGCGACGGCGTGAGAGACGCGCGTGTGAAAAATGACATCGAGTTCAAAAGCTCCCTAAATAAGAAATCGCTTTCCCGAAGGCACGCGCGCCTGCACGCACATCCCCCCGTGCGCGCGGTCGCATTATTCACTCGTCCGAAAACTCTTGAAGTGAAATACCCGCGGGATTCTCGATCATCAATTTCAATGTCGCGCCAGACAAAAATCGCGCGATACACCCCACGGCGGCGGCGATAACGACGGCGGAGAGAAGGCGATACCGTCGGATGATCTGTTTTCGCGAGGACGTGCGATAATCCGCGGCCGACCGGTTTGTTAGAGCGACGGAAATCGCGCGCGGGGAAATGACGAATGGCTCGGCGAGACAAATTTCCTCGAGGGGTAGATAACGTCGGGAGTCATTTCTTTGCCGCGCGCAAATTGTTTTATGTCGAGAGACGATTTCGGAAACCTATAACATCTATACCTAAAGAAAAAAAAAGGAAAAAGAAATAAAGCGGAAAACGTTTAGACAGAACGAATCCTGAAGAGACAATTAAGTCGCTCTCGAATAAGAATATCATGTGACGTGTGTTACATTTAATTTTCCAGAACTTGTCGCTCGCACCCTCTTTGTGCGCGGATCTCTAGCTCGATTGTAAATGCTGACACCGCACTCTGTACAAAGGCTATATGAGGAAGCTCTCGAACGTTGTTACAGCGCATTTACCGTCTCCGTTCCGGATGCTGATCCGTGCCGCTCCAATTTCCGCGACCACCCAGCGAGGACGAATTCCTTTTTTCTCGCGCACCCCCGTCGGTGTCGGCGGGACGAAGGGTACGAGCGGAACGCGCGAGCGGAGGATAAAAAGGTGGAAAGGAGGCGGAGTAATTTGATATGGTGGGCCAGAGTACGGAGGAGAGAAGAGGGTGGAGGGGGGGGAGATGCGCTCTCCCCTTTTTTTTCCTAATTTGAAGAAGGGCGAGTATTCGCGAAATGAAAAGCGCCGGGGCCCTTTGTAGATACGCGTACGCGCCCTCCGCAGGCTCAGCTCTCGTGTGCGTGCACGTGCGTGTGCTAGGATTAAAGCGATGAAAGAGAAAACCCTCTTCACCCCCTGTGTGTATATTTGTAGCGCGAGCGGCGTGCTCGATCGGACGCACAACCGGTGCCATTTTTAATACGCTCATTTTGGATGTTACAACGATGCCGGACCTATCCAATCCGAGTTACACGTGCAACAACATTTTGCGCCCTTTCTGATGCAAATTTGTCCGATGTCCGTAAAAATAAAAAATATATACATTCACGTTTAGCGTCGCTCATCTAATTTCCTGACGCAAGAGAAAAGAAGAAGCATATTTGAACAATTTGAAAATATCGTGTACCTCATGGAAAATTCTCTACCAACTTGGCGTTTCTCGAAAAACGCGCAACAGAAATTTTATAGTATATAAAAGAAAAACTGAAATCGCGCGAATTAATTAATAATAAAACTGCAGAAAAGAAGTGTAACTAAATACGCATTAGAAGCACATATAGAGCGAAAGTTATTCTTTTCTCTAACACGCAAATTTTACGACCAATCGATCGACATATTCAAGTATTCTAGCCCTTCCTTTGTGCGCGAAAATGGTGCACGGCACAGAGTGACATTCCAAACGATCCTATTTTGCATTAAGTAGAACTTTCCGTGCCGTGCGTTTTAGATTCATGATATTGATTAAAATTTACGTTTACGTTTGTGGCAGAAAATAGGACTAACTTAAAAGTAAAACATAATTTTTATTCCTCGTCATTGTGCACTTTCACCTTTCACCACAACTCGCATAGAAATTTTTTTTCGAAAGCCAATAAACTTCAATCGGAATCATCCATTTTATACCTTCTACAATATAGGTATATTGAAATTTAAATTACAACGTCGCTGTTTTAGAATCGACGATATTTTATGAAACTATGCAAATATTCATATGGAGAAAACTACTGGTCTTGAATAAAAAACAATAATTAGAAAAAAATATTAGGGTCGAACAAAATAAATCAAACGGAATTAAATTGCCAATTTAAGCCGACACAAGGTGAAAGTGTGTAAAAAAATTAACATATATTAATACAATTATAAATGTTTCGACTCTTAATTTTGCCTAATAAGAGATTCTTCGCTTTTTACCTTTGGATAAACTAATTGTAAGCTGGATGACTGCGCACCACTTCACTTTTACACGCTAAATTCTTTACAATAAGTTTAACTATTTATGCCGTGATGTTTATGTATTTATTTAATTTTTATATTCATTTTTCGAATATTCTCAACCCAAAATTAAGAGTTGAAACGTTTATAATTGTATTATAACCGTAATTGTAATTATATACGTTAATTTTTTTACACACTTTTATCCTGTGTCGGCTTAAATTGGTAATTTAATTCCCCTTGAGTAAAAAAAAATCATCCGCTAACAAAGTTGTCTTCGTAAAAGACCTTCGTCAAACGCGCGACTATAGCAAAGAAAGCGCACAACGTGCTAATATCGCAATATATTGGGAAACTTACAAAGCGAGAGATTTACGTCGTTGCGAGGCCGCGCGGGTCGAAGGAGCCCGAAACGTAACGTCACGCCAGCGACCGGAAGACTCGGGCTGCGCGAGCCTGAGGAAACTTCGCAGGAGGAATGAGATCGTACCTGCCGCTGCTGCGCGGAAGGCGGACATCGCGTGCAATGTCAGTTGTTTTCAGCATATTACGTGCGTTCCGCGACAATAGCGGGCCAACGAGCGAGCAGGGCTTCAACTCGGCGGAGACACGATCGTCCAATGCCAGACTGTTTTTCGCTGGTTCCGTCCGTACCTGGTTTCCTGACCCGCTTGCACGACAGTCGTTTAACAAGCATGATACCCCGCGTCAGCGAAATTTCGCGTTTACGACTTCCCGCTTACGTCCCCGTGAATTCGTAAGAAGCTCGAGTCTCTTCAACGCGGAGTTCGGTCATTCTGCGAGTTTTGCTGTTGCGCGATCGACAAAATTGTCATTGAACCGTCTAAAAATTTGACCGACGTATTTTTCATTTCCTTTATTTTAATTATAATCGATAAATGTAATTGACAGATAGACACATGTACATCTATCAGTGAGATGTAATACATTTGCGTCTAAGTAAATATTATCGTTTCAAAGGAGATTTAAATTGAAATTTCTGATAGAAGGAAATATGTGAATATCTCTTAATTTTGTGAACAGAAATGACTACTCCGGAAGCACCGCTCGACTTTCGACTTGAGTACATCGGCGGTTTCGTGCAGAAGAGTCTAAAATTAAAGCCGGAGAAATGGGGAAGATTATTACTCACAGAGGAATATCGGAACGTGGTGTTGGATTTTTTGGACAAGCCATTACCGGTCGCTCTTTTTGTCGTTCTAACACCGAACGCGCAATTAGTGGCGTCGTCCAGTTTTCCCATACCGTGCCAGAGAACGAAGGGTGAGTTCTTCGTGATTGCAATTTATTGTATCAAAGACTGAATAATTAGAAATATTTTAACAATAATTGCGAAGAATTTTGTATTCCGCTTCAACATGAATTTAATTTTCATAAACGTATTACGAGCATTTATATTACAGAGAAAATTTATGCTATCGTTGCAGGAGTTTACGCAATCAAGGTGAAGCAACTGCCATTGCCAAAAGACAAGGAAGCATGTTCGGCTATGTTAATCGTGGGTGATCTGTCCCATCGGATTGTCGATCAATTGGCTACATTAGTGGATAACATCGTTGCGCCTCTTCTCACCAAGCCAGAAAATCACAAGGACTTGCCGGAAGTAGCGATTCACGATATATGCAAGCACGTGCACGCTCTCCGTGGCACGTTGTATCAGGTAATAAAGCAATCGATAATTAAGTCATTTTATAAATTCTGCCTTTTTTTCAAATAAAAAATATTACGCTTGAACGTGCGTACAGGTGAAAGGTCAGGTAAATGGACGAACGGTGCTACCGATGCCGGCGGGTCTCGAAAAGGTGGCGGAAGTCGAGAGATTGGTTACTGTAGAAGGACCGCAAGCGGCCGATTTGTATTTGAAAAGTGCTATAGAAGGTGTGGTGATAAAATGGGCCTACTTAGTGAACGACGTAGTCACTCACGAATCCAGCGTCGCGTTTGAAAACGGACAGAATCCGACGCCCGACGTCGAGCTAGAGTACTGGTCTACCAGATTGGCGAATTTGAGGTAACGAGTATTTTTCATATATAACACTTTTATAAGATATATTACAGTCGGATGCACAATTTCTTTCTTATGCAGCACATCACGTAATAATATCTATTATCGCGCCCATCCTTTGCAGATACATCTACGATCAACTGCAAGAGGACCGCGTGAAAAAGATGGCGACGATTCTCGAGAAAACTGACAGCGCGTACTTTCCGTGCTTCCGCACGTTGTTCGACAATGTTGTCTCCTCATTGGCCGAAGCGAAGGACATATCGTTGTACCTGACGCCTCTGGCGAAGTGCTTCAAGTCCGTGGAAGAGATCGACTTCGCCGAAGCTAAGCCGCTGATGGCAACTCTGATACACTCGCTCGGATTAGCGTGGGCAAAGTGCAAGAGTTATCAAAGCTCTAGTAAACTCATCATCATGCTTCGGCAGATATGCAACTTACTGATACAGGAGGCGCGCCGGTTTCTCGATCCGACATCAATATTTCAGAGCGATGTCGACGAAGCACTCCAACGCGTTAAAATATCGAGAGGTATAAAGCCATCTTAAGTTAAACTTCTTGCTTTGCTAGGAAATTAGCAGCAGTAATAGAATCATCATTTATTATTATTATTTTTATTATGGTTATTAATTAAATCTTTTTACTCAGTGTCGAACTCGAAAACTTGAATAATTATCAATTTGTCAATAAGTATTGAAACCTCAATATTGGAAGTGTCAGATTTTATTAGATTAGAATAATCATAGTATACCATTGACTAAATATTATAAATTTTTTGAAAGACTGCGCCTTGTATGATACAAAATGACAATTTCAACGTACGACATATCGCGCAGTGCGATTTATTTTTCCGGCTTCCGAGATCTCAGAAATGTTTTTCAATCAGGAGTACTCGAGGAATTCAAAAGACAGTTCGAATTGAGAAAGCATATGCCGGGCTTGAAACCGGAAGCTCCATCTTGGACATTCAATTCGACCGCCGTCTTCACTCGTCTCGATGCTTTCCTGAAACGGCTGGCAGATATCGAGTGGCTCTTCGATACCGTCCTTGAATTTTCCAAGTTGGAGAAGATTGAAATAGGCGGCATTCTCGGACGGTCCTTGAGCGCGAGAATCATAAGCGTGTTCAAAGAATTTCAGCAGCTTTTCGTTTCGTTCACCGTGAGGGCCAGCGACGTTCTCGAGCCGGACGATGAATCTTTCGTCGTTGATTGCACGAAGTTCGCTGAATCCATCACCGATCTTGACAGCAAACTGGCAGCGATTCTGTGCCAGGCTTTCGACGACTGCGGCAACCTTGAAAGTGTCTTCAAGGTTTTGTAATTTATTTGCTTTTCTTAGTACTAATGTATTTTGTCAATTATCAGAAAACGTGAAAATGTAAATCGTTTTTATTTATCAGTTGATAAACATCGCCGGATCAGTACTGGAACGTCCCGTCATACGAAAGCAATTCACTAATCGATACACTAGGATTCTCGAGCTTTTAAACATGGAACTTTCGGTAGTGGAAGTTTTGTTCAACCGCGGTAGCAGGGGTGCTCTAATTAATCTACCGCCTTTGGCTGCTGCCTTAACGTTCACCAGCATGTTGCGGCAGCGTATCGACTTGCCTATACAATCGTTCAAAGCCATGCCGCATCCGTGCGTATCACAATACATCAAAATTTTTCTTTAAACTCCCTCTTCCAGACAGAATTTAAAAAATGCTTCATATTTCCATTAAAAAATTGTATAAAGTTTGGAGAGAAAGATAAATAAATCTTCAATAATCTACTAACAATTATAGCTTCTTTTTCATTTGCAGAATCGTTCACAGCGATGAAGGTAATAATATAATGTCACGTTACGAAAGATTGATAAAAATATTCGCCGATAAGGAGGATGATCTTTTCAATGAGTGGGCGCGAACGGTACCGCAAACTGTTGATGCCGGCCTCAACCGTCATCTGGTTTGTAGAGAGGCTGAAACTTTACTATTGAATTTCGATCCCAGCCTTCTCGCGGTATTGAAAGAAGTGAGCTATTTGAAACAGATGTCACGTTCCGATATTCCTCAAGAAGCAATTAAGGTAACATAATCTTAAATGTGTACTTTCGTTGAAAATCGAGCAAAATCGTATCCTCGTGCTAAGAAAATTTTTATCGCTATCACGTGTATTTAATTATTTCCATTTTATACCGCGTCGTCAGGTGTCCGAGAGCGCGGAGACGTTCAGAAAATTTCGCACGATGCTAAGCAGCACGGTCGACTCGTACAATAACATACGTAAAACAACGAAGCGAGTTGAGTTTGACCTGATCGAGTTGGAGGTGGCGCGAATCGATTCCCTGATATCCCGCGGAGAAGATGAGCTATGCTGGAGATCAGACGGGCTTCTCGAATATATAACGGAGTTGGGCGATCTCGTGGAGGGGCTGTGGAAGCGCATGAAGTCCGCCCAATCGAACGTGCAGAAGATCAGAAACATTTTGGAACCCTGGACGAAAACGCCCCTCATAGAACGGAAGGACCGTCGTAAGGAGACATTGCTTGCCTTAGACGATCGTTCGGAAAAGGTATCGAAACGTTACGCGGAGATTACGAAGGCCGCTGAGCAGATACACTCGATATTGGAGGAAAATCAAACGCTCTTCCAAATTAACGAGATCGAGCAGGAAGCTTGGCAAGAATACGTGAAATATATCGATGACATCGTGATCGAGTCACTTCGAAAAGCAGTTGGATGCTCTTTAGGTTTATATCCATCTTAAAATTAAGGAAAAATCGTATTTAATGGCATAAAAATTTATGTTTCTTTTCGTAATCAATTTTCAATTTATGAAACAAAATAACTATAAATATAATGAAAGTTTAATAAAATCGAATATCTTTTTGCGTTACATTTAGGCTATTTAGCGGAGAGCATGGATCCAATCGGCCAGTGCGAGGCATTACTTGAAGCAAAATTAGAGCTCAGAGAACCAGACTTGTATTACGTGCCATCACTAGAACCCGAGGATCCAGACGGACTTGACCAGCTGATTCTCAGTCTGTTAAATGACATTAGCGGTATGGCCGCCTTGGTACCGCGATTAAAAAAAAATTCGGTAGGATACGCTGAAGAATTAGAATCTGACACAGACATGAAGGGAATGAAAGAGGAGATACTGACAAGCGTAGCTACTGCTGTAGAAGAGGCTACTGACTTTTGCAGTAATTTTGAAGGTATGATTATGACAATCTGGTTTACAACAGTTCCGATTCGTATTAAAGTCATTAACTCTCAAAATTTTTTTTCAAATAATTTGTAAAAAATCTTATATATTATAATATTGTCACAGACATACAAAAATTATAATTTTAAACTAAAAACATTTATTATATCTAAACATAACAAAATAACGCATAAATATAATAAAAGATAGTTAAATTAAAATTTAAAAATATACTAATAATTATGTGGATTCTAAAATATTTTCTAATTTTCTTATTTTAAACGTATATTGCACAAATTTTTTAAATTTCTATGCAACCAAATGTTTCATTATTTTGTTCGATTAGGCTACGCCTATTTATGGTTGGATGATAGGGATGTTGTGATGCAACAATTCCTCGAGTACAGCCGCCAATTGTCAGTGGAAGAAATGGACATGGTGACGGCTCAGGACCCTAAAGGTCCGACGAAGTCACCGCCGAAAATGGAGCAATTTCGCGAACAAATTGACCTTTACGAGGGCCTCTATCTCGAGATCGAGGAAATGGATCTGTCCAAAGTATTTTGCGGCTGGTTCAGGGTGGATCTAAGACCCTTCAGACAGTCGGTATTGAACACGGTGTGCAAATGGTCGAGCATGTTCAAAAAACATTTAGTCGATCGTGTAACAAGTAGCCTTTCCGATCTGGGAGCGTTCATAAGGTGAAATATAACATATGACATGTGATATCATATCAAATCATATATTAAAATTTCAAATAAAGTATTGCCTCTAATATATTTAAATCATTATTTTTTAATCCAGATAAAAAGTGAACGCGTAATGTTTTTCAGTCAACAGTTTTATCTTTAAATATTCGGCTTCCAGACTAGCGGACGAGGGATTGTTACAGCAAGTACAACCGGGTGATTATGCGGCTCTAGTTAGCGTAATGGGCTACCTACTACAGGTGAAAGAACGCCAGCCAACTACGGACGAAATGTTCCAGCCATTAGAGGAAACCATTGAGTTGCTCAAGTTCTACGATCAGGATATACCCGAAGAAGTAAACGTGCTGTTGCAAGAGTTACCGGAGCAATGGGCAAACACGAAAAAACTCGCTCTTATGGTGAAGCAGCAAGTTGCGCCATTGCAGGCAGGTTCGTAAGATGAGAATCGACATTATTAAGTTGACGATATTACGAGTCAATTAATTTAGTATTTTATTTAATTAAAAATATGTAGATAAGAAAATATTTATTTTTAAATTAGTAATCCCAATATTTATTCTCTGCAAATAAAACTATCTAAAATTTAATTTTTAACATTTACATTCTATAATATTATTGCAACAAATTATATTAATTAAATCATTAAATAATTAAATTCAATGATGATATGTGAAAATAATAGGTGAAGTATCAAGAATTCGCGGACGGATCTGCGCGTTCGACATTACAATAGGCCAGTATCGAGAGGCATTTCGACGGTACGCATTCTTTAAGTACGATTGCAAAAATCCGTACGAGCTATCAGACGAGGCCCACAAGGAGATCCTCATGCTGGAACGGCAAATGAAGGATATACAAGAATCCGCCTCGTTGTTTGAAGTGACGGTACCCGAATTTAAACAGCTGAGGCAGTGCAGGAGGGAGCTGAAGATGCTTAAGCAGCTCTGGGATTATGTAAATATAGTGCAGAGTAGTATCGAGGGTTGGAAGACGACGCCCTGGAGGAAAATCGACGTGGAGAATATGGACATCGAGTGCAAGAAGTTTGCGAAGGAGATACGTGGTAAGTAGCTAAGAAATTGTCCACAGTCCCCGAAGGATTTCCACGAATTGCGCGGTTTTATACGTCCCGGATATATCTTTATAAAATATTACTATTTCTCGCGCTCCCCCTCTTTCGTTCTCGCGCGACTCGAGTAACCGCGCGAGTTACGCAAAATACAGCTGTATTTTATTATCCGCAAAACGTTCACCCCGATTAAAACGACACAATCTTAATGTGTACATTTTGTCCAGCAGCACTGGACAAAGAAATGAGGCCATGGGACACTTATGTATCGTTGGAAGCGACGGTGAAGAATATGCTTACGTCGCTGCGTGCCGTAGGAGAATTGCAAAATCCGGCCATTCGGGAGAGGCACTGGCGACAACTGATGAATAGTACTAAGGTATAGCTGGAAATCATAGTGCGGATGTTCAATTTATTTCTCTACGGTATAAACTCTGTAAATTAGAAGATATACTTTGATATCCAGCTTAGATGAAAGAAGATTCAAATTCATACAAGCTCAACGCCTTATTCATTTATACATATTTTAATATTTTTAACGATGCTACGATCATTACATCTAAAATAATTCTGCGAAATTGTATATAATAATAATGCGCGCGCGCGCGCGCGCGCGCGTATGTGTGTGTGTATGTGTGTGTGTATGTGTGGTGTAATCACATCAAATCACTAGCTAGTTGCACCGCTGTATATATACGCTATCGGTGTTACAGAAATTGGGCAACATGACTCCAGAAATGACCGTAAGTCCGCTGTACATACGCATATCACGTAAACGTTACTTTTAAATTACGTACTCATTATATTTTCAATAACAAAAGATCGTAAAGTTTGATAAAATCAATCTCGGCACGACAGTTTCTCGCAAGTGTGCACTATTACACGTCATATCCGACACTCACGTGTACGTTACAAAATATTTTGTAAGCATGGCTATAGCGCAGCATGGAACACGCTGATTAACATAAAGTTAGGATTTTAGAATTTTATATAGGATTTTAGAGAATGTTATTATTCGCATTCATATTTACAGACTTATTCAATGCTAAATGTGTCTATTGATTTTAATGCGAACTTCGCATTTAATGAGAATAGTCACATTTATAGCATTAAACGCTAGAAATCAAATAATCCTATTTATAATTCGCCATCATTCTTTTATTATGTAAGTTTCGCATTATTCACTCATTGTATAAATCACTGTACAATTTTTTAATAAATTTGCTAATAAATACAGAACATCACATATTTTACATTATTTAGCAATTTCCTACATCACTCTGAATTATTGTATGAGCTAAAGCAAATCATTGACCTGCTTTTTATTAAAAATATTGTAGCTACGTCGTCAGACGACTTTTTTACACGTAGGTTCGTTTCGTAATGGACGAATCGACGACTCTAGCCGATCTGCTCGAGTTGAATCTCCACGAATGCGAGGAGGAAGTTAAGAATATCGTGGATAAAGCGGTTAAGGAAATGTCCATGGAGAAATATATGAAAGAATTGAATGTTACGTGGTCGAAAATGGAATTCGAGCGGGAAGTTCACGCTCGCACGGGAGCTACCTTAATAAGAGCTAGCGAAGAATTGATTGAGACCTTAGAGGAAAACCAGGTTACTTAATTAATATCTCAACTTCGAAAAGCTTACAATGAAAATAATAAGAAAAAAAACACCATTCTGATATTCGGGAGAGATAAAATTCTTTTCTTCCTAAAATTGCAGGTACAATTGCAAAATTTGATCACCTCGAAATTTATCGCGCACTTCCTGGAGGAGGTGTCGTCGTGGCAAAAAAAGTTAAGTATCGCCGATCAGGTGACGACGGTCTGGTTCGAGGTTCAACGTACTTGGATGCATCTCGAGAGCATCTTCATGTCGTCCGAGGATATTCGACGGCAGTTGCCGGTGGATGCCGAGCGGTTCGATCACATCGATAAGGAATTTAAAGAGATGACGGAGGAGATGGCGAAAACGCCGAACGTCGTTGAGGCGACGAATAAGGACGGTCTCGTGTCCGCTTTAGACGTTCTGCAAAAAGGGCTGGTATTATGCGAGAAGGCCTTGGCGGAGTATCTCGAAACGAAGCGTCTCGCTTTTCCGCGATTCTACTTCGTCTCTTCCAGCGATCTGCTGGACATACTCTCGAACGGGAACCAACCGGAAATAGTGGCGAAACACTTGACGAAGTTATTCGATTCTATGGCGCGATTGAACTTCGACACCACGAATACCTCACTAAAGCGCGTCCTAGGTAAATGATTAATCATAAATAACATTTCGCGCTAAATATTAGTCGTTCAATATCTTTTCAATATATTTCAGGCATGTTCGCCAAGGATGGCGAATACGTGGAATTCGCAAACTGCGAGATGATTTGCGAAGGAGCTGTGGAAGGATGGTTGAATCGGCTTCAGAAAGCCATGCGCGTGTCCATCCGGCATTACTTCAGCGAAGCGGTTGTGACGTACGAGGAAAAGCCACGAGAGCAGTGGCTGTTCGATTATCCGGCCCAGGTGTCCCTCTGCGGAACGCAAATTTGGTGGACCACCGAGGTCAACATGGCCTTCGCGCGTCTCGAAGAGGGCTACGACAACTCGATCAAGGATTATCTGAAGAAGCAGATCTCGCAGTTGAGCACTTTAATCACGCTGCTGATAGGAGAGCTGACTAAGCAGGAGAGACAGAAGGTCATGACTATCTGCACGATCGACGTCCACTCCAGGGACGTCGTGACGAAGCTGGTGCAATCGAAGGTGGAGACCGCGCAGGCCTTCCAGTGGCAGAGTCAGTTGCGGCACAGATGGGACGAGAAGGAAAAGGATTGCTTCGCAAATATTTGCGACGCGCAGTTCAAGTATTCTCACGAGTACCTGGGCAATACTCCAAGGTTAGAACACACATTGTTAATATATTGGTCGATTGCCAATACAATGTTACGCTCGTTTGCTTCCAGATTGGTCATAACGCCGCTAACGGACAGGTGTTACATAACTCTGACGCAATCTCTGCATCTCATTATGGGCGGTGGTCCAGCCGGACCTGCGGGAACCGGAAAAACCGAGACCACGAAGGATCTCGGCAGAGCTCTCGGCATAATGGTGTACGTGTTCAATTGCTCCGAGCAGATGGACTACAAGTCCTGCGGTAATATATACAAGGGTCTGGCGCAGACCGGCGCGTGGGGTTGTTTCGACGAATTCAACAGGATCACCGTCGAGGTGCTCTCGGTGGTCGCCGTGCAAGTAAAGTCGATTCAAGACGCCATCAGAGATAAGAAGGAAAAGTTCAACTTCATGGGCGAGACGATAGCTCTCGAGCCGACCGTTGGCATATTCATCACCATGAATCCGGGTTACGCCGGCCGTACGGAATTGCCGGAGAATCTGAAGGCGCTTTTTCGTCCCTGCGCCATGGTGGTGCCCGATTTCGAGCTGATATGCGAGATAATGTTGGTAGCGGAGGGATTTCAGGACGCAAGGATACTCGCGAGAAAGTTTATTACATTGTACACGTTGTGTAAGGAATTGCTATCCAAACAGGATCACTACGACTGGGGTTTGAGGGCGATAAAATCGGTCTTAGTGGTCGCCGGTAGCTTGAAAAGAGGCGATCCCGGCAGACCGGAAGAACAGGTATTAATGAGAGCCCTGCGAGACTTCAATATTCCCAAAGTGGTGTCGGACGATTTACCGGTCTTTATGGGGCTGATAGCCGATTTATTTCCAGCATTGGACGTTCCTAGAAAAAGAGACGTTGAGTTCGAGAAGATGGTAAAGGCGGCGGCCACCGATCTAAGTCTGCAACCGGAAGACGGTTTTATTCTCAAGGTTGTGCAGCTCGAGGAGCTGTTAGAAGTGAGGCACTCCGTCTTTATCGTAGGTATAGCTGGTTCCGGAAAGACTCAAGTTTGGAAGTCGCTGTTCAAGAGTTATCATAACATGAAGAGAAAGCCGATGTACAACGATCTCAATCCCAAGGCTGTGACCAACGACGAGCTCTTCGGTATCATCAATCCCGCGACGCGGGAATGGAAAGACGGCCTCTTCTCGGTGATAATGAGAGAACAGGCCAACCTGGGTGGCGACAATCCAAAGTGGATCGTCCTGGACGGCGACATCGATCCGATGTGGATCGAATCGCTGAATACCGTTATGGACGACAACAAAGTTCTGACGTTGGCCAGCAACGAACGGATCGCCCTTACGCCGGCCATGAGATTGCTCTTCGAGATCTCGAATCTGAGAACCGCCACACCCGCCACGGTCTCGCGTGCCGGTATCCTGTACATAAACCCGCAGGATTTAGGATGGAATCCGTACGTAACCAGCTGGGTCGAGAAACGATCTCTGCCGAATGAGAAGTCAAATCTGGTAATGCTCTTCGACAAATACATCCCTACTTGTCTCGAGACTTTACGAACGAGATTCAAGAAGATCACGCCTATAGCCGACATGGCGCACGTCGAGATGCTGTGTCATCTTCTCCATTGTCTTTTGAGACCAGAGCTGACGACCGGCGACTTTCACAAGGACCATTACGAGCTGTATTTCGTGTTCGCCGCCGTCTGGGCTTTCGGCTCCTCTATGTTTCAGGATCAAACTGTGGATTACCGAGTAGAGTTCACTAAATGGTGGACCAATGAATTCAAGCAGATAAAATTCCCGCCGCAAGGGACGGTTTTTGATTATTATATTGACAACGAGACGAAGAATTTCGTTCCGTGGACGGAACGTCTTCCGAAATTTGAGTTGGATCCGGAGATACCACTACAAGCCGTTTTAGTCTACACGTCGGAGTCCATCAGAATAAAATACTTTCTTGACTTGTTAATGCCGGAGAAACACCCGATAATGTTGGTCGGCACGGCTGGATGCGGCAAGACCGTCCTGGTCGCCGAGAAACTTCTTCAGCTTTCTGAAAATTACGCGGTCTCCAACGTGCCGTTCAATTTCTACACCTCGTCCGAGATGCTGCAGAAGATCCTGGAGAAATCACTGGAGAAGAAAGCGGGCAGAAATTATGGCCCGCCGGGAAACAAGACCTTGGTGTATTTTATCGACGATATGAACATGCCTGAAGTGGACGCGTACGGCACGGTTCAGCCTCACACGTTAATTAGACAACATTTAGATTACGGTCATTGGTACGATCGGACTAAATTGACTCTGAAGGACATTCATAATTGTCAATACATCAGTTGCATGAATCCGACCGCCGGATCGTTTACGATTAATCCGAGATTACAAAGGCATTTCGCCGTATTTGCCGTCAGCTTTCCGAACGTGGATTCTCTGACAACAATATATTCCTCTATTTTGTCACAGCATTTCGCAAACGTGGAACACAGGTAATATTGGAATGTATAATAAAATTCTCTACACATTAAACAGATACTTGAAATAATAATTAAATCGTTCATCGAATAACGTTGTAACTCTTGTAAAAATAATTCAATTATTGTAATAATATTAATTATGATAATATTAATCAGGTTTCCTGTAAGCGTCACTGAATTATGTCCCAACATCGTGCAAGCAAGCATTCAACTACATCACCGTTGCGCTCAAATGTTTCTACCGACAGCGGTGAAGTTCCATTATATCTTCAATCTCCGCGAACTTTCCAACTGCTTTCAAGGTCTATTGTTCAGCGGCAATGAGTGCTTACAATCCCCGGTGGATCTAATCAGACTCTGGATGCACGAGACTCAACGCGTGTACGGAGATAAGCTAACGGACGAAAAAGACATCGAAAGTTTCTTGAAACTACAACTCGATATCATGAAAAAAAATGTGGAGGAGGTGGACGAGAGCGCGATCCTGGAAAAGCCCAACATTTATTGCCATTTTGCAGGTCCATATTTTCTAATTCTGTTTCTAATTTTCTGTTGCAAATATTTTTATATTTTTTATATTATATTTTTGTTGCAAAATTACTAATATCAGATTTCAATTCTTCAAAATATAACAGTCAGCATTTACTTTTTTTTTCATTAAAGATGCAGTATTAAAGTATACAACTTTTCAAAAATTATTAAAAAGATTGCACAATATTTAGGAGGCGTTGGAGAGCCGAAATACATGCCCGTCAAAGATTGGTCGAATTTACATCGGCTGCTGTCGGAAGCAATGGTCAGCTATAACGATTTGGTGGCGGCCATGAATTTAGTGCTTTTCGAGGACGCTATGATGCACGTATGTCGCGTAAATAGGATCCTAGAATCGCCCAGAGGCAGTGCGCTCTTAGTGGGCGTGGGTGGCTCTGGTAAGCAGAGTCTTTCGCGATTGGCAGCCTTTATAAGTTCATTGGAGGTCTTCCAAGTTCAACTGAAGAAGGGCTACGGCGTGACTGATCTAAAACTAGAACTCGCCGCTTTGTATTCGAAAGCCGGCTTGAAAAATTTAGGTAACATGTTCCTGATGACAGACGCGCAAGTGCCGAACGAACAATTCCTAGTACTTATCAATGACATGCTCGCGTCCGGGGAAGTGCCCGATTTATTCGCCGAGGACGAGGTGGAGAACATAATAGCAGGTTTGAAAAGCAATTTTAATTTTAAAATACAAGTAGATAGAATAATGCTTATATATCTTAACAATATTGAAAAAAAGTTCTATCATTTAATTTAATATCTTTCAAATCTTATTAGTTTTATTGCTATTTATTACTATTTTTTATTAGTTTTACTTCTAAAATCGTTAGGCATTACACAAAGACAGGTATATATTTTATTTAAATTTCAGGAGTTCGTAACGAGGTGAAAGGCGCCGGTATGCTGGACACACGCGAAAATTGCTGGAAGTTTTTCATCGATCGCGTTCGCCGACAACTCAGAATCGTATTATGTTTCTCTCCCGTCGGTTCGACACTGCGGGTTAGATCCAGAAAATTTCCGGCAATCATAAATTGCACAATGATAAACTGGTTTCACGAGTGGCCTCAGGAGGCACTAATGTCTGTGTCGAAAAGATTTTTGCAGGAACTGGAGGAGCTGTCAGAAACTTACAGGTATAGAATAATATTCAAGTGTAAACGAAGATAGCTTATATATAAATAGTGAAGTTAGCACGACATTTTGTTAAAGAGAACTATCGCCAGCAGTGCCGAGAATTATCAGCACGACACATTTCGAGTGCCGTGCTGGCGGCAAAAGCAAAGATTGTTTAAAAAATGTTTATATAAGGCGGAACAACTTTTAAAAATGATTCACTTGCGTAATATTTGATGGCATATAATAGATTAGAGGGAGATGTGCCGTGCAGAAACGTAAAGTTATCACATCTTTTTGTTATTAAATTTTTTATCAGGAACGATAGAACTATATGGAAAGTGCTACTGGAACTGTTATTATTATTTTTTAAGTTAACAAAATGTGCTAACTTCACAGACACATAAATAAGTATTAAAAAAGGGAAAAAGGAAGCTCAAAATAAGAAAATTCTTTTTGATAGAGAATCAGCTGCTAAATTTATGGCCCATGCACACACCACCGTAAATGTAGCCAGCCGTCATTATCTGAGCAGCGAGCGTCGTTACAATTACACGACTCCGAAGTCTTTCCTGGAGCAAATAAGTTTATACATTAGATTGTTAAAAACAAAAAGTTCCGAGCTACGTGCTAGAGTGGCTAGATTGGAAAACGGCTTGGACAAGTTGAGATCAACGGCCGTACAAGTGGATAAGTTAAAAAAGAAGTTGGCCGTACAAGAGGTAGAATTACAGCAGAAAAACGATGCTGCAGACGCTCTAATTGCCATAGTTGGTGTCGAGACGGAGAAAGTCCAAAAAGAAAAGGCGATAGGTTTGTAACGTCATTAGCAGATAAATAATAATAAATTACGCAATATTCTATATATACACTTAAAAGTAATTTAATTAAGAAAACGTTATTTAATTTAGCGGATGAGGAGGAATCCAAAGTGGCCGTGATTGCCGAGGAAGTTTCAAAGAAACAAAAAGACTGCGAGGTGGACTTAATGAAAGCCGAGCCTGCTTTGCTGGCCGCTCAAGAAGCTTTAAATACTCTAAACAAAGCGAATCTAACGGAATTAAAATCATTCGGCTCGCCTCCCGGTGCTGTAACAAACGTCACTGCTGCAGTCATGGTCCTTTTGGCACCATCTGGCAAAGTACCTAAGGATCGCAGTTGGAAGTCCGCCAAGGTATTGTCAAATCGATTGGAACAATTCGAGAGAGAGCTCCTCCCTCGTCGTGATTCCATCCGAGCAACAAGCGTCAAAAGACATATATTTTTCATTTTCTCCATAAAGATCGTGATGGCGAAAGTGGATACCTTCTTAGATTCCCTGATTAATTATGACAAGGAAAATATACATCCCGAGGTGATTAAAGCGATACAGCCGTATCTCAAGGACTCCGAATTCGAGCCTGAGTTCGTAAGATCCAAGTCAGCCGCCGCGGCGGGTTTATGCGCCTGGGTAATTAATATTATCAAGTTTTACGAAGTCTTTTGCGACGTGGAACCGAAACGGAAGGCACTCGCGCATGCGAACGCGGAGCTGGCTGCGGCTCAAGACAAGCTTAGCGGTATCAAGAGGAAAGTAGTTGTAAGTGAACGTCAATATCAAAGATTATTTTCCGCGATTCAATGCCTCAAAGTTCTATAATATAAAATTGTATAAATATACACACATAGATATTATTTTAACGTATAATATTTGTTAAGATTAAAGTAATTCGGATTCGATTTTTTTTTCAGTCCTTGGAAGAACAGTTGGCGAAGTTAACGGCGGACTTTGAGAAAGCGACATCCGAGAAATTGAAATGCCAACAGGAAGCCGATGCCACCAATTCGACGATCGCGTTAGCGAACAGACTAGTCGGCGGTTTGGCATCTGAAAACGTTCGTTGGGCCGATTCGGTGGCAAAGTGAGCATTTTTTTTTATGATATATAATATCTTGGGTTGTACGAACAAAGTAAAAATTGCAAATATTTGTAGCTTCATGCAGCAGGCGTCGACGCTACCCGGCGATGTACTATTGGTGACGGCTTTCATATCCTACGTGGGTTGTTTTACAAAACAGTTCCGACAGGATTTGCTAAACAAGCAATGGCTGCCATTCATACGCAGCGTGGAACCGACAATCCCAATTACCGAAGGCCTGGATCCTCTCTCCCTGCTAACGGATGACACGCAAATCGCCAAATGGAATAACGAGGGATTGCCGAACGATCGAATGTCGACCGAGAACGCCACAATACTGACCAATTCCGATCGTTGGCCGCTAATGATAGATCCACAGGTGCGGCGTCAAGAAATTACACAAGACCGAATGCAATTCGATAAAAAGAAAAAATCTTTTACAGCTTCAAGGTATAAAGTGGATCAAGGAGAAATACGGAGACGAGCTGAAAGTGATCAGATTAGGTCAACGTGGTTACTTGGACGTGATTGAGTTATCATTAGCGAATGGATCTACAGTTCTGCTGGAGAATATCGGGGAGACTGTAGATCCCGTTCTGGATCCTCTGCTCGGCCGAAATTTAATCAAGAAGGGTCGAGCCATTAAGATCGGCGATAAAGAGGTGGAATACAATTCCATGTTCAGATTGTTGCTGCACACGAAGCTGGCTAATCCCCATTATAAGCCGGAAATGCAGGCGCAAACCACGCTGATTAATTTTACAGTGACGAGGGACGGCTTGGAAGATCAATTGCTCGCGGAAGTGGTTAAGGCGGAGAGACCAGATTTAGAGGAGTTGAAGGCGGAACTTACCAGGCAGCAGAATGATTTTAAGATTACTCTCAACAGTCTCGAAGATTCGCTTCTCTCCCGGTACAAGATCATTATTAAATTCAAGATTTATGAATTATTCATATGCGTAAAACTTTGCATATAAATTATGCAAAACAATCACTCGTCACTCGAGAAAGAGATTTGTTCCTTAAAAAGAAATAATTTTCTTTAAATAATAATCTTACAATTATATAATTATATAACATTTTTCTCTGTACTTTTTTTTTATCTTATTGACAGCTAGTGATACGAAAGAACTCGTAATAAATAAATAAATTTGTCAAGCGGTAAGTATAAGCAGTAATAACAATTATTAATTTATTTTAATATTATCATTTCAGGTTATCATCAGCTGGCAGTAATGTCCTCGAAGACACATCTCTCGTGGAGAATTTGGAGACTACTAAGCGTACTGCTGCGGAGATCGAGTCGAAAGTTACGGAGGCTCGCGGTACCAGCCGACAGATCGACGCGGCTCGAGAACTATATCGGCCGGCAGCAGCAAGAGCCTCCTTACTGTACTTCATACTGAACGACTTGAATACGATCAATCCTATCTATCAATTTTCGCTAAAGGCTTTCAGCGTAGTCTTTCAGAAGGCGATCTTGAAGGCCAATCCCGCGCCTGATGTTGCGGCAAGAGTACAGAATCTGATCGAGTGCATCACATATTCAGTCTTCATGTACACCAGCCGGGGACTCTTCGAGTGCGACAAGCTAATCTTCGCCTCGCAAATGGCTTTTCAAATCTTATTGGTAAGAAACGAAGTCACGGCCAGCGAGTTGGACTTCCTTCTGAGATTCCCTATAACGCCACACGTCACCTCGCCGGTCGATTTCCTCACCAACGCCAGTTGGGGTGGCATAAGAAGTCTCTCCACGAGGGAAGAGTTTCGGTACGCACGACGAGAAACTGTTGTCCCGTTGTCGCTTTAGCCACTCACTTGTCCCGCCTGTTCGAAGGAATTTGGACCGGGACATCGAGAGTTCTGCCAAACGCTGGAAAAAGTTCGTAGAGTGCGAATGCCCGGAGCGGGAGAAGTTTCCCCAAGAGTGGAAAAATAAGACGGCTATACAACGTCTGTGCATGCTGAGAGCTCTGAGACCGGACAGGATGACGTATGCCATCGCAACGTTTATCGAGGAGAAGCTCGGTGCGAGGTACATCGAGGCGAGAACGGTGGAGTTTGCGAAATCTTACGAAGAGACTAGCCCGAGCACTCCAATTTTCTTTATTCTGTCACCCGGAGTAAATCCACTGAAGGTATGATTACGAAATATTTTCCTTTATTGTTTTTTTTTTCATATAAATAGATATTAATAGCAAGATTTTCGATGATTAATTTCTAAAATTCGTTTATATTAGAAAAAAAATCAGTAAATTTATTTTATGAAATATATTTTATAAGAAACAGAGATGACAAGAGAGAAAATATTTTATTTTATATTCAGGATGTGGAGGATCTAGGTCGTCGTCTTGGTTTTATGTCAGATAATCAAAATTTCCATAATGTGTCCCTTGGTCAAGGACAAGAAACGGTGGCCGAACAGGCTATAGACGTAGCAGCCAAAAATGGTCACTGGGTGGTATTGCAAAATATACATTTAGTTAAAAAGTGGCTTCCATTATTAGAGAAGAAATTAGAGACGGCCGCGGAAGGTTCGCATTCCGATTACAGAATGTTTATGAGCGCAGAACCGGCTAGTACGCCAGCCGGTCATATAATACCTCAAGTAAGAAGATAGTTTTGCATTTCTATCTTATATTTTTTTATAAATAAAGACAATAATCAATTTAAAAATTTTTATTTGTATATTATAAAATTTGTAAATTGTAAATTTTAATTGATTGTCCAAAATGTAATGAAAGGAAATTTCACTCGACAAACTTAATATATGCTTGATATTATCGGTATTATTGATATTATTGCTTTGTAATTATTTTTAGGGTATTCTCGAATCATCAATTAAAATTACAAACGAACCACCCACCGGTATGCAAGCTAATTTGCATAAAGCTCTGGATAATTTTGCTCAAGAGACTTTAGAAATGTGCTCTAAAGAAGCCGAGTTCAAAGCGATTTTATTCTCTTTATGCTATTTCCACGCAGTCGTCGCGGAACGTCGTAAATTCGGACCCCAGGGTTGGAATAAAATATATCCCTTCAATGTGGGAGACCTGAACATCAGTGTCAGTGTGCTTTATAATTATTTGGAAGCAAGTCCGAAAGTGCCTTGGGAAGACTTAAGGTTAATATATTCTTAATTAACATTAACAATAAATAGAATAAATAAGCTAAATACACAGCATAATTTACTAAAAGTTATGTAAAATCAATAAAGCTAACGTACGTAAATATACAATTGAATTCAAAATAAAGCTATTCCTCAAAATGTGAACGAAAGAATTTAATAATTAATATTCTTGAAAAGGTATCTCTTTGGAGAAATTATGTATGGTGGCCACATAACAGACGACTGGGACAGAAGGCTTTGCGTATCCTATCTTGAAGAATTAATGCAGCCTGACCTGATTGATGGAGAATTGCAACTGGCACCAGGTAAATTAATAGGCGTACTCTTAAAAATATTAATATTCTTGATGAGAATTGTGAAATCGTCATTTTGCATTTCAGGTTTTCCCGCGCCTCCTAATACAGATCTAGCCGGTTATCATACATATATTGACGAAGCTATACCGCCGGAATCGCCGTATTTATATGGACTACATCCAAACGCGGAAATCGGCTTTCTAACGATGACAGCTGAGAATTTATTCCGAACGGTATTTGAGATGCAACCGCGTGACACTGGCAGCTCGGGAGGACAAACCGTTACCAGAGAGGAAAAGGTATTATTATATTCTTCTTTGCAGATATATATTAATTATAAATATTATATATTTATTACATGTATTATATATTGATAAATGTTACGTGTTTTATTTATCTTGTAGGTGAAACAAGTGTTGGATGAGATAATAGAGAAGTTACCCGAGGAGTTCAACATGACGGAGATCATGGGAAAAGTGGAGGAACGGACGCCGTACGTGATCGTCGCCTTTCAAGAATGCGAGAGGATGAATTTCCTGACAACGGAGATCAAACGATCGTTGCGGGAGTTAGATCTGGGCCTCAAGGGCGAGCTCACCATAACGTCAGACATGGAGGATCTGGAGAACGCGTTGTTCTTCGACCAAGTACCGCCGGTGTGGGCTAGCAGAGCTTATCCGTCTTTATTGGGTCTGACCGGTTGGTTCGTCGATCTGCTGCTGAGGATCAGAGAGCTGGAAACGTGGTCCACGGATTTCGTTGTGTGTACACGTAAAAAATATACGACGATGACGACGACGTTCTTATATGAGCAGAGCTAACGTAACGCGCAAAACAATTAATTCTCTTCCAGTTACCGGCGTCGGTGTGGCTCGCCGGGTTTTTCAATCCCCAATCGCTGCTCACCGCCATCATGCAATCGACAGCCAGGAGGCACGAGTTGCCGCTCGACAAAATGTGCCTCCAGTGCGACGTGACCAAGAAGAACAAGGAGGAATTCACGTGAGTAGGAACAATAATTGGACGGAAGTTGAAGTTTTCGCGGGTACGATCTAACGCGGTCGCGAGGGCAGAATAGTTATCGCCCGTTAACTCGATTCGTCTTGTATGTCGAGCCGAGGAGTGACTTCCTTCCCGATTCGTTCGCGTTAGGTCAGCGCCGAGGGACGGGGCCTACGTCCACGGAATATTTATGGAAGGCGCGCGATGGGACGTCCAAACAGGAATCATCGTCGATTCCAGATCGAAGGAATTATATCCACCGATGCCGGTGATTAATGTACGCGCGATCACGCAGGACAAACAGGATTTGAGGAACATGTACGAGTGCCCGGTGTACAAAACACGCACGCGTGGCCCGACATATGTATGGACGTTTAATTTAAAAACCAAGGACAAACCGGCCAAATGGACGTTGGCCGGTGTTGCTCTCTTGTTACAAACCTAGACAGAATAATCATCGTTATATTTAGCAATTAGTCGTTATTGATTGCTTAAATAATATTATAAATGAATGTATTGACATTGTGATTATGTACCTGCTCGAAATAAGCATTAATCATTTCTTTGTCAGATATTTTTGCAGGTGATCTTACGTTACGTAGATAAGATGGTATTTTACACTTTTCTCTGCTGTGTAAAAAAACCGACTGTAAAAATATATTAATTAGAATTAATTAATTAAGATTAATATATCTAATTGTTCGTATTTATTTAAGCAAATGCTTCTTATTATATTTTTACATTCTAATAAAGATACACTGTATATCAATATTTTACATATAGAAAAATCGTTATATTGTCTACTCTTGAATCTGAGATAAATTTGTTTTTTATATACTTGCGAAACAATGTTTCGTGCGACGCAGATCCGCAATTATCGTTCATAAAGAAGAGGACGATTCGACGGCAAATCCCAGACGGTCGATCGAAGGTGGGGTGGTTCGAGGTCAACTAATCGACCGAGAGTTAATAAAACGTAGAAGGAGAAACGACGCGAAAGGTCTCCGAGGAGTATCCGGCCCGTTTCACGAACCGGCGTTCAGTTTTCCGCGACAGGGAAAAAGGAGAGAAATTATCTGTCATTCGTCGAAACCGGGAGAGCCCTCCCTGAAGACGTCGGAGATCAATACTGGTACCTCGGAGTAAACAAAAGCCGATGCCTATCCGGCTACAAAGTGTCGGTCAATTTAATTTAGTGCCGAGTCCCGAGATAGGGATACGGAGGGAAAACGGGAGGAAGATATATCCGTGTGGAGAACACAAAGGTCTCCATATCGCCGCGATATCAAAATTGCATCGTGTTAGCAGAATAAATAAAATTTTCGACTTCAATGTGTGTTTCACCATCTTTGAAGAATATAGTTCTCGTAAAATACAAATTTTATTGCACGTGAAGAACTCTCAAAATCGCGAAGAACGCTTGACCTTTTCGATTTCTTTTTATAGATTTGTAGAGTGAAACATTTAATGATTATGCAATTAATGTTAATGCAGTAGATATATAAGCTGGAAAAATTTTCAAAAAGATCGAAATTGAAAGATATTTATTCGCCATTATCCGACAATTGCCGAATTTTTCGTTTGTACTGTTTCAATCAATTATGCTAGTGAATTAATTATGTGATAAAAAAATGATGACAAAAGATACGATTCAATTTCGCGCGCGCCTTAATAAACTTAACAAATTGGAGCAAACGGAGAAACTCGACCCTAACATTGATCTACGTGTGTATCGATTCAATAATAAAAAAAAAATTTTTTTTCTTTCTACGAAGGTCAGTAGCATTATTATTATTGCATTCTGGTCAATAGTTCGGGGCACACAGCAAACATACAGCGGCACGACTAATAGTACGATCTGCACAAAGTCAACTCATGAATCCCATCGGACAGAAGGGGGACAAAGAAAAAAATTATCGTCCCTTTGATGGTTCTCGCGGTGATTGGCTCTCGGACACCCTCCTCATGATACGTGGCGGATCGATCGGCATCCGTGCACCAGCTTCAATCACGGTTTTCATTAAGCCGCGCTGGACGGCGGAGGGTAAGAGCGGCTCGAATAGCCGATGTTTCGCGTGTCAGGAACGAAAGGCGGGACGAGAGGAAGAAGCTTCTGGTTTCAGGACTTGGGCTTCTGGCACGGACTTCGCAAGAAACTTCAACGCCTAATTGGGCATCAGCCACTCGTTAGGCGATATCTCGAAAATTGCGTCGGCTTTGTTGTTGAACAAAGGATAGAAGAACGAAGAGAGGAAGGGGAAGAAGTCGAAATTTTCTGAAATCTTGTTAATACGGAATCTATAGAATACATATATGTGATAAAGATAGAATACATACTTTCAGTATTACGGAAACTGGCATGTTAATTAGTTGCGCAATAAAAATTACGCAATTAATTTATAAGTCAATTAGTCAATTAGTCATTGTTAATTATCATAGAATATAACTGAATCAATAAATTTCAAGAGTACGTTTAATATTCGTCTTCCGCGTATTATTATTGCATTTTCTGAAGAGCGAAACGTATATAAGCTTGAGTTCTCTCTCGGCAAGAACTAAGTAATGAAGGTCCTTGAAATAAGAGTCTTCGAAAGGAATCGAAGTTCGCATTGGCGGAGAATTTGCGCCAACAGGTAGTCTCCTCCTTTTAAAAACTCCAATCTTCAGTCCGTTTGAAAGGACTGGCTTCATTCAAACGAAATTTCTCACTGTTAATGAGCGTGTTTGATGTGAGGATTCTACGTAATACCACATTGATCTTAGGTGTCTCATTAGCCGATATGATGATAACGAGGATATTAATTAACAGGTATTTGTTAACGTGATAAATTAGTTGTTAATACGGTTTCGTGTCGATTCGATTCGATTGTCACGATTACGACGAAATATATTGTCTTTGTCGTTGAAAGTCGTGTATATAGGTACTTGTATATAAAATGAAGCTGCACAAATCAGTAATAAAAGCGTTACTTCAGAACAATAAAAATTACAGAATTATTCTGTAATTTTTTAATCTAAATATATCTTCTTTTTTCTTCTTATAGATGCAATCATAATTTGTAAAAATAAAATTTGTAAAAGTAAATAACAGATTATTAAATTTATTTAATTTAAAACGTTTATGCCTAAATTTTTAAATTGTAGATCTACTTTAAATATAAAGTATCTAAGGCTAACAATAAGTAGATAAGGCTTTTTGCCTTATATCGATAATCCGTCCTCGATAATTCCTCAAGTTATCCCCCATTCTTAGTTACTCTTATCTTATTTTAAATTATAAGACAAGAAAAGGATAAAAAAGTAGAGAATTTCCTTTTATTAACGCAACGAGAGATACGTGTAGAGTAACTTGGTATATTGTATTATATGGACATAATTATTCGTTGGAAAGTTTGCCCACTTTGTTTATTCGATACAAGGAATTCGCGCCGTAGAATTGTTTAGGGAAAAGGTTCATGGTCATCGTTAGCACGAGGGCGAGCTAATGGCTCCTTTGTTTCGTCCTGAGAAAGCAGGCGACTTCCATTTTTCATCGACATCGGTGCGGCTGGGACCGCGTCGCTTCTTTAGCGAGTTAATCATTTTTAAAGGACCGACCGCAGGTGACGGTGCGTCATACTCGTCGTGATCGCGATATTAAAGGACGTCAGGCATTCCCGCCCAGAATTAAATTTCTCGGGCGGGGAAAGGCTCGAGTTTAGACAGTCACCCCGGGGGTAGCAGAGGGGTAATGAAACGCCACGAGAGCTGCCGCGCAATTTGTTTTGCATACGGACGACATTTTTCACTTCGCGGAGGAATGGCCTGACGTTTAGCTCTCAAGTGCCTCTCGGATGCCTGCGTTGCACTCCTTAATCCTAACAGAGATTCTTCAGCGAAGCCGAAATAAAATTCGGTGGTGTAACCGCAGCGAATACTCTTGCGGCACATTACAAATAAAATGGTGATCTCATTATTACGACATAAAGTATAAAAATATTTTCATATATCAGTTTTTACAGTGGTATCTACAATTTGTCACGTTCGCCAGAATGGACGTCACGAAGAGTAACTTGCGTGATAAAAATTCTTCAGATACTGAAGTGTTCGACGTGTTGAATGAACAGTACGTGTCAGATATAATTTCGTTTCAGTCTCCGTAAATCTCATTATTAATGGGACGTACGCGGAAAATATCTCGTTCGAGGACGTGCGATATCGCATGTTTCTCTCTTTTCGAAATATCGCCTTTTTTGAATTTTACGGCAATAGACCGTGAAAGAATGTAGAAAGAAAAGTGAATGCGTGATAGATTGATCCTAAAATTCGCACGATCCTATTCCTGTTCTTTGTTTTGCAAAAATTATTGATCGGAGATACAGATATAGCGACGGGATATGGAGATATTAATTAAGCATTTGCAAGGGCCGGGTTGAACGGTAGGCGGGTGTAGAGACGGTCGACGTAGCTAACTAGAGAGACCTTTGAGCACAGACTTCGGCTCGGGAGATCTGTAAACCAATTAGTGACGCCTCGTCGATACGGAGGGCTAAGTCGTCCTAACCGGATCGTTCGGTTAAACTGCTTACTTGATTACATGACGTTAGTTAGCGTCACCGTAGTCGCCTGCCCACCACAGGTGATACTCCTAATTCCGATCACGTAAGGATCCGCCAATTTTTGGTGCTTGGGAACACTTGGGCTGTCACTAATGTCGTACAGGCAATTTTATGGAGCGAAACGATTCTCTTGGCCGCGTCGATTCCTGCACGTCGTCGCGATATTTTCGCTCGGATCGTATAATTCACGAAGAAGTCAGACTAGAGTAATAAAAAATTGTGCTTTAATTTCGTAGAGTAATTATTTAGATATCAGAGTTTGTTCAACGAATTTATTCAGATTCAGATGAGAAAATTGGATAAAAATTTTATCGCGCCAATTATGTGGAATATTTGTATTGTAAAAATACTATCTCTGCAATAATGCCACGAAAAAAGAAAAAAGCCAGAGTAAAAGAGCAGATTGTTTATACATTCTTATCCTTGCCTTGTATATAAATATCCTTATATTAAGTCGCGCAGAATGCATTATAGAATGTGGCATAATAGTGAGAATATAGGGGGACTTATAAACTCCGGAAATTGTAAACTCCTGAGTATATATTGCAAACGTATCCCGGCGAGGGTCACTCGATATACGCCGCGCTCCGAGAGAGAGAGAGAGAGAGAGAGAGCCGTACGTGCGTTCATGCATCCCTCGGGAGATTACAACAAAAACGCGGGGGAAGACAGCACACAGTGGGGCCGCTACCTAAATTCGAACTACGTGTATATCCGCGCGAGATACTTTTTTTTTCACCCTACGCACGAATGCCCACGGGGCGTTATCATTGCCCTATTAAATTCAAAAATTACTTTTTCTCGAACGACACGTATGTATATTTGCGCGGCGCGCGACGAGCTGCGGTTAGCTCTCGGTACACGCTATCCACGTATTGTATAGTTATACACATATATATACATCGTGTGTGTAAATTACGACGTTAAATTTCTGTCTGTATAAAATTTTTAAAAATCAATAATAGATTTATTTACTCTCGTAACGAAAACGCGATAGAAAAATAATAATGGACTGCCGACTGCAGGAGTAGCTGCGCTGGCTGGATCTACAGAAGATACTTTTCCCCCTTCTGTTGAAATACACCCGGGACGCAGCGAGTTATTCGATAGGTTCGAGCCTTGCCAAACAGTGGTTGGTCCGATTGTATACTTTGACTTTCTCTCGTCGTTCCCTTTCCCTCCTGGATTCGGCAGTGCTTTGGTGCCCTAATTAAAGGCGGTAGCTTAATTATACCGATAATGTTACTCGATCTACCACAGCACCACGCGGCGCGTATTGCTCGCGGCTTAATTGCTTCGTGTTTTTCGAACAATGAAAAAAAAAAATCGCTTATTGGTACCTAATTTTTGTACGCCCGCGCTATTGTTCATATGTGTACGTCAAAGCATCAATTTTCAGTAGCGTGTTCTCCCCTCTTTTCATAGTCGACGTTTCAATTTTTTGCGTTCATATACAGTCATTATTTTCGTTTCATATTATCACGAACGTTCTTCACTTTCAGCTGTGTCCGTAGGAAGTGGAAATTCGAATTTTTTATGTATTTGCCAATGTTTTCTCCCCCCACCCCCCCTCTCAGCTCCATTAATGCTAACGTCGGAAATTTTAAATCCGCTACGTCCTAGGTATGCAAATACCTCTCAAGCTTTTAAGAGACAATTTGGCATGCATCCCGAGCTCGTTCCTACTATCTTTCTCCCTATACTTGACTAATGACGTAAATACGTCTCCTCTCGCGGAGATTTGAAAATATTTAAGAAGAATCCGTTTATTCGAGAATTTACATTGGAATGCCTTTCATATAGGATATTCTGGATTTGCTGAGTTATTTTTTTACTATTATTAGAAAAGAATGTTTACTTCGGCATGCGTCAACGATTTATCGTTTCTCGTGTTGCGTGTGCAAATTTATGTCGAATTTATGTCAGCACGCACGTTAAAGACAGCTTAAAGAGAGTTTATACACTGTAGAACAATTGACTCCAAAATTTGTCGAATTTGCAATTTAAAGCTATTACCTATACATTCGGGACGTACCGTATTTTGCATGCAGCAGCAAAATTATGCCGCGCGATACTGAAGTGAAGTGTATTGCGACAATAACAGAAGATGAATCACGTCGGCGTGGCGAGACGTTAAATATTCTCGACACGCCTTTCCGCAAGTGTAACCCGTCGCGCGATAATCAACACGATAATTGCGCGTTCGTCGCAAACACTCGCGGCTCGCGAGTCCCGGCCGTTTCGTTGCGCCGCTCCGCCAATCGCGCGGAGAAAATATCGCCCGTTAATATTTGCGCGTCGACCGGGATCTGAATCCACAGCCCGAGGGGCCTGTTGGAGGCAGAGCGTTTATCGTTAATGCGATTAAGTCGATGCATGATTCATTCCGCGTCGGGTTCTAATAACGCCGTGAGGAAAGGCACGTGTTATCGGCTCCGCGGGGCTGAACCGGCCCGGCCGATCGATCTTTCGAACGAGACGCTTGAATTTCTTTCTTTCATGGCCGCTCTCTGGAGAATCGCTAAGCGCGAGATACGCGTCTAGATCTAGATAACTAACACCCTCCTGGCGGGTCATTTTATCGTGCGGCATGTAACTTTGTTATGCGAGCGCATTGAACTTCATTTAATTTGCTGCGACGGCAACGTGTTTGCTAACGAGAAGTTTGTATCTTTCATCGAAATAAATTTTTTTTATATTATGATTTATGTTGGATAATCAACCCTCTCCAGGGACCGTTTCATCAGTGTAGCACGCATTCCATTGCGTAGAGATTTCATTAAAGTAATCCATTTTCGATCGTACGAACATCAATGTATCTTCTAAGGAGAAGTTCGAATTCTTTCTCCATGGAAATAAATCTTTTTTGCATTATGATTTATGTTAGATAATTAACTTCTTTAGCGGGCTATTTTATCATGCAACAAGTACTACGTAGAGAACTCATTAAACTAATCTGTTCTCGATCATACTGATGTCAATGTACTTTTTAACGAGATTTGGATCCTTTTTAATAAATATCAATTTTTTAATACACAATATATAATTTATGATAAATATTTTTTTCCTAAGCCAAGGTTTGATATTCTAATCTAATGTAATAAATTCTAAAATCTAATGTATGAAATTAAAATTGGGGTATGAATTACAGACTAGTTACATTGTGGAAGAATTATACAATAGTATAGAATGTATCATACTATAATCTTCT